TATATAAAATATATTTAATTATATTAAGAGGTCTTCCTCACTTTCACAGGGGTGAGGACCTTGGTGATCACACTGAAGTGAAGTCTGCTAATGATCAAAGTACAAAGCAGTGAGACTCGATTCATAGTTCTTTCTAAAATCTAAAGAGTCAATATCAAGAGTTGTAGCTGGTTTGTGTGGTACCAGAAAATGATAATTCCTAAAATGAGCAAGCAAAATTTACATCACTTGAGTAACATATCTCTATTATTTCTTAAATGTGCCTGATTAACCAAATGTAACAATATAGCTGCATGTATTTTGATTATAAGCAATGACTCAAACCTATAATCTCCTGTAGTGAAAAAAAATGCCTGGTGACAAGATATTCATAGGTATTTTTGTGCTTATCTTGGTGTCTCGTGAATTCAGATATTACCATCTCAAAGAAATAGAAGTAAATGCATTCATAGAGTAAAAGTGTCACTGCTACTAGGTTTCATTATTTGCAGAAAGAAAGATCCATTTTGGTCAGTTAAAGTGAAGTTAGTATTATATTCTTAGGTACCATTCTGATGGTATTTTTTTGAGTCTCCCATTTAGTTGTATACCTAAATGAAAAGGAAGAACTTTGCTAGCTGTATACATAAGCAGTTTTGCTATTAGTATAAAATTTACCATTTATCTGAGCAGCCCCACTTGACAATCTGACCAGAGGAGCATATACTAAATATCTACAGTGAATGAGTTTCTCTTTTAGTTCTGAAAGGGGGCTTGACAGATTAGGAGTCAGGCAGAATAGAGGGTGCTGCTTCATGCAGCATGCTATGCATATAAAACAGTGATCAGCACTGAGCAAGTTCATTTAGCAAAGCTTTAGACCTTGGCAAGTTCACTGAAATAAATCAAGCTGCAGCCCAAACATCCAGAGTTAGGGCTTATAATCATCAAGTTGTTTCAGAATATAACCTTTGGCAGAATCAAGACAAAAGCAGCCTTTGTCTGAGCTGCTTTGTAAAATCATCAAAAGCATTATTAGCACTTATTCCTTAAATCCTATAATTTGTCTGACAAGATTTATTGTTATATTTGGTTGCATGTCATGTTTGTGACAGGGAAAACTGCAGGAGACAACTTTTCATTTACTTGAATCATAATCCTGCTTTTGAAAATGACTCTACATATCTGTTTAACTGGTCATTTCTAATAAAAACATAACTGTATTTTATATATATATAAAATAAATTTGGAACTAAGATATAGTAAGACCAATAACAAAACATTATAGAATACTGCCAAGAAAATGCAGAGTACTATCAACCACTCAGACATTACTGAATAATTGACAACCTCAGTGAGCACTTCAAGGAAACCAGAGTTTGATTAAAGTTAGGTGAAGTTTCTGATATGAATATATTTGTCATCATTAACTAGAGGACTTAAAATTATAAGTCACTGATTCCATTATTTTTCACAAGCAACAATTTAACAAGAAGAAGAAGAAGATAAATTTCTTTTACCTACTGTTTCTAGCCAAAGCTTCTACATTTATGGGTGTAGGTGTAACTGAAAGCTGTGTAGCTGAAAATGATTTCTAAAAGGTGTTTGTTTTCTTGTTGTATGGTTTCTCTTTTTTAGGATAACTGAGCAAGCATATGAAAATCCTCCAAGGGCTCTAAATAATTTCCCAGAAACAAACTACTGCAGTGACAGTGAAAAAAAGACCAGGTACTGTGGACAATGAATTGAGAACCATATCACCTAAAGAGAACCCATCTATGCAAGAAGTTTCAGGGATGTTTAGAAACTTTAGCCTGATCTCTGGAAAGATGCCAGCCCCCTTTCAAATTCTGCTTTCAGGATCCCATGCATGGTGGCCCACAGAGCATAGCTCTAGCACACAGAGTGGGAACCACAAGACATAGCCTGTGTAGCTCTAGAGATGTAGCTGAGGCATCATGTAGCTGAGGCGTGAAATTTAAGAGAGCAGTTAAGCCAGAATTCTTATACAATCAAAAAGGAAAGGTATTTCCTGCATGTTAGATACACCACACTCTCAGGGAGCTTATTTCTTTCAGAGGCTGTAAGGAAAACATTACACTCAAGTGTCTGTTAAGTTCTTAAAACTATATGGGATGAATCTGAACCCACGTATCATGTCTTACTCCCAATCACTGCAACTGTAATGTGGGCTTCTGACTTTTTGACCTGGTACAAACTATCTTAAAAACCATTTCTCTTGCAGTACTCTTTTTCTAGGTGGATTCTATCTTTACAAACACATGTATTGCAAATCTGAGTGAAAAATGTGATGTAGGGGGTATTTAATAGAACTAACTAAAGACCAGGTCTGTTGGTAACAGGAAATCATCGGAATAAAAGAAATACATGTTTTTTCATAGTCAACATGCATTTTAAGGAAATGTGACAACAAAAAATATAATATATAATTTTGAATGAAAGACCTTTTTCCATTAGGAAAACCACCCTTCAGTACCAACCCACTCATCTATGTGGATTAATTAAGTATTAATATAAACAGGATTATTTAAAGATACAGTCCTATACATAAGGTGTTGTACTGCTGTGTAGTGGTTGTCAACTGCCTGAGCCAAGGCTGGTGACTTGGAAAAGAGAATAGAAATCTTCTACTGAGCCTTACTAACAAGGAAAATAGCAGTCATGGTCTGGTACTTCATAGGAACCACGGCCAATGTCCCAATCCTTAAGCTTATGCACACCTAAGCCTTGGTGTGGGTGTGACTGAGCACAGTGTCTTTGATCTCTCATTTTCTTATATTTTCTGTAGGAGGCTGGAGTGTGGTTGAAATTCGTGTATTCTGCAACTTTTGCATGGTCTTTCAGGCCAAGCCCATAAATTGCAGCATTACCCTAAACTTGACAAAATGTATACCCCGTATCTAAAGCTTTAATCACAATTTAAGTCATGAAAGCTTACCAAATGAATGGTCTTTGCAGGTTATTCTTTCCGGGTTTATGCAATGGGTTCTACAAAGCATTTATGGTTGAGTAGTTTGCTGTATAAACAAGTCACACCATAGCAAGTAAAGGAGTGGGTGATACAAACTGAAAGAAGGTGCTTGATCAGATATGCAGTCTCAGGCTGCATTGTGGCTCAGTTTTAACTTAGAATCTTGTCAAGTTGTCAGATCATGCATTTATTTGAAAGGTTCTGCATTTCCTCACACTTTTGGTTGGCAAGACTAGAAACTGATGCTTTGAAAATATTTTTGCTGTAGTTTCATAGTGGTTTATTTGCTACACAGCACAATTATTTTTTTAAGATGTGGATGTATATGGTTTTGTGTATTTCAGCCATAATACTCTAGCCAGTTATTAAAATTCAAGGGACACTTGTCTACACTGGGACACCTGAGGAAAGTATTTTTCTTTATTATCTTACAGTTTTCTGTAAGATAAGCAGTGTTATTTTCAGGCATGTTGCATCTGAATACCTGTATTATGGTTAGCGTGCAATGCACGGGACTTGCTTTGCCCTGATCTCAAACCTGATTTAACTAGATGATCTGAAATGTCAACCTGACTCAGCACTGGATTCTGTAGCTAAATACAATGAGTTAAATGGAAGACTTGGGGTAGGGAAAAGCCTTAATCACAGAAAGAAGTACAGACAGGCCCACACTTTACAGGAATAGAGAGGTCATATACCTATGCCACTTTTCACCACAGTAAGAAAGTTTAGGGACTTGCACCACCAATATACTTCACCTTGTGACATGTGCTGTGCACGTGTCTAGCTTGGTCAGGGTGAAAATAGCCATAAAAACTCTTTCAAAAGGTGATCACTTAGCTTCAGTTCGTTTTCTTAGTTAGTAAGATTACTTTCATCTTGCCTGAAAGGTAAATGGAGCACTGGGTGTCGTTTGAGGTGGTACTTTCTCTGTGGTGAGCAAACCCAGGTTTGTACATAACTATTAAGTAGCAAGCATATTGTTATGTTCTATGAAAGGTAAATAAAACAATTATCATTTAAGCTTCTCAGTAATTGTGGAATTTTAATACTTTTCTGGTATTGCATAGAAATCAAGTAAGACACACACATTACAAAAGACAGGTATGTAGAAAAGTGTATCTGGACTGTTTAACACCTCATACATGCATGTTATCAGTCTGTTATACTTTCTCTGAAAAAAAGACATGTTCTGCAAATGCACATGGTTATAAAAAATTATTCCTAACATTGTTAAACATTATTCAAGAGTGATATGAAACATGTAATAATTACCATATACCTTATGAATTTCTGGAGGAATAGGATAATTTAATCAGTTCAGAAATGTTCAAAGCATGTATGGCAAGATAACTTCTTCAGCTGTCACATACATGGCCATCCCTTCCATGCAAAAAAACCTGACAGTTAAGCAACTAGAACTGGGACAGTTACAAAAGAAGATATAGCTTCCTTAATAGTTAAATTCAGTATATACCTTCCTACTCTGATCCAAGGAACAATACAGCTACTGTAGTGAGCACAAATCTCACTTTGAACAGCCTGTATTACAAAGACCCTCAATCTACTTCAAGGGGTGTACTGTAATTTTGTTTGGCTCTTTGAAGACTAGTGAAAGAAGGGGGGAAAAAAAGGGAAAAGCAGTGTGTCACCCTTTCCTGAAATGTATCATTTAGGCTGGGATCTCAGCACAGGCAAACTCAATACTATCATGTAGATTTTGCTCAATGGGCTTATGGATTTAATTTTGAAATGCTGAAGAATCATTCAGCAACAGAACATGGTCTAAGGACACTATATTTCTAATTTGTGTTTGTTAGGTTGTTTTAATTTTATGTATTTTTCTTGATGGCTGTGAAAATAGAGGAAGATAATTTATCACCAAGTATGATGATTTTTTCTTTTTTTTTCACAAGCATGTTACATTAGTTTTATTTCATATTATCAGCAGTGCACTGAAACCTTTAAAAATAAAAAATTCTCTTTAGTAATTGCTATTCTCTCACTGATTCACAGCAAATCATCATATGGTACCTATGACAAAAATATAACTGGAAATACTATCAAAACTGTTTACTCTACTTCTGATCGGTAAGTACACATTAATAACATTGTAGAGTACCAAAGGACACAGACATTTTGCATAAGCATTCAAGTATTCAGACAAAAGAGAGCAGTGGAAGTCACCATTAGGCTTGTCAGACAGCTTTTCATATGGAGCTCCCTTTCAGTGGGGTCTTGCCATCAAATCATTACCACAGTTCATCAGCCTAATGTTATGTTAGGCTTGTCACAGCTGGCATTTTAAAATATCTATAGAAACAATAGCCAATGCCTTCAGTGATAGAGTTGGCTTTGCGATTCTGTAGGTTTCTATCTTGGGCAGCTGCTTACCCTGCAAAATTTCCTTCCTTTTTGGGGATGGTGTCTGTAATGACCAACTTTATGTACAGATGTGGAGGTATAGCTTCACATGCCAGTACTGTTAAAAACTCTGGTGTTTTCACACCAGCTAAAATATTCCCAAATATAAGAAGGGTATTTGCTCATCAGTAATATATTACCTCATGGAAAAAAAAAAAATGAAATAAATGTGGTCACTATTTTCAGTTCAGATAATCTGCACAGTCCCATTACTTGGAAATAATTTTTTTTTTTTATCTTTTCCAAAGTAAGTATAAAGGACTCTGGGAATGATTAAATATTAGTACAGTGGCTTACTATTGAGTGGAAAGGAGTAAGACCAGTTGATACTAGATATATCAAAATTTGTATCTAGGGAAAGTACATATCAATGCTGCATAAGAATGCAAAAAGAGGCGGGAAAATTTTTAAAAATATTCTTATGAATATCAGGTAGGCTGTTCTATGCATTTGTTCACTATTACTGCAAGGAAGGTAGGATTTCTGCCTATGTTTTGAGGCTCTTCCACAACACAGAAGATAGTTCTTTAAGACTGACCAAATGATGGCAGTTTAAATTCAACTACCAATTTTATTTTGTGATTAAAATGTCAAAATCATTATCCTCCACTTCAGCCCCATTTAGTATACATGCTCCCAGACATTCAGCAGCTTAATACAGTTTCATTACTGTTTGAAATCATTCAGTTCACCAAAGAAGACCATTCTTTCTATCAAGGTATTTTTGCTAGTTGGCAATTATGCTCAGCAATTTGCCCATCACAGGATCATGTGTATTACAGCTGTCAACTAGAATGGAAGGAACATACACATGACATTTTTCCATTTATGGCCATTCTACAGTATACAAATGTCTTTCCCACCTAGTGCCCTAAACTTATCAATTTTCTGCTTGAGATTTCAATGGCAGCTTTTTTTTCTGACAGTCAATGTTGTGTTATATACACAGGAGTATAATTGGAAAAGATATATGTACATACTGCAGGAAGCCCTTGGGCATAGATGCCAAAATGATCTTAGATGCCTTGCAAATTTGCTGTCATTCAACCTGCTTCAAGGTAAGAGGATTTCACCTGCTACTAAGAAATATAATTTGAATGTAATACCTGTATTATAGTACACAAATAATAAGAAAATATTCAGGCCTTAGGCCTTCTCCACCTGGGAGAAGAGGAAGTCTTGCACACTGAAGAAGATTAATGTAGGAAATACTAGTCTCTCTTACCCCTACACAGTCCCTTCCTCTGTCTTTAAATCTCTCTCTCTCTTCCTCTGCTTTCCCTCTCCCTCTCTATCCTTCTTTCTTGAAGCCACAAGGAGGATAAAGGGTGCACTGTAATGTACCCTGAATGTCCTACACATTTATAAGGCTTCAGCTGCAGAGGCTTTTAGTTGGATATAGTGAATGATATCCTACTTATATTTTCTTCATATTGTAAAATTTTATTCTATTTCTCTTTTCGTGAAGCTTTGTAGATGTCCTTGATTAAGGACAACTATGGCTTACGCAGAAGCCACACTCAAAGGCATTAGTAAAAGGCGTTTAAGCAAGAGGTAAAATCGTTTTACCCACTGGCATCAAAGATTTGGTTAAAATTTGGGTATTATAGATAGTGTCTGCTGTAGGATTAAATACTGATGAATATGGGTGTGCCTTTGCCTCATCTTATTACAAATTATGTTTGGGTTTGGTTGTTTTTTTGCCCCTGTTTCCAATAAGAATGAAAGCACAGAAGAAATTTTGCTTGTCATTCCAAAGCTTAAGCCTCAGCCTAAAATTCACTCTTAAACTTTTCTCAGGGTATGCCGATCAGTGCTCAGCCCTCTAGTCCATTTTCCTTCTGCTTCATTTGTCTTAATTCTGCTTGCATCTCCATGCAGAGTTTGTTGTTCTGACAAACAATACTTGCAAAATCACACATTAGCATAGCTCATTTTTCTGTCCATCTTGCATATACTTCTGTTTCTGACAGCAGTTCTTCTACCTAGTTATTGCATGAAAAGTAACCCAAAGCAGAATACAGCAGTAAGGCTATACTTAACATGTATGAATTTACATATGCTTTTTGTCTCACATTTCTAAGTTCAGTGAGCAGTAGAAATGTAATTTTTTCCATGGAAATCACTATGTAATACCTCCTCAATACTCCTACTGCAAGTAATTACAAGCTCTGGTTTTCTTCTCTTTTTTTTGGATAGATCAACCCAGATAAAGAGGAATAGGCTTTTCACACAGTTAGAAGTACTAATACTCCTACACTGGTATTGGCCAAACTATCTGTTAAATATTTAATCTTAATTTTTAAATTATATTCTTTTTGCTACCTATTCTGAAGTGGGGACCTTTCTGGTCAGCAAAATTCAGCTTAGGTTTTCTGTAACTACACATTTATGAAAGCATTTGCAAAAAATTAAACAACTAATGTAGGTCTGTGGTTTGTGCTTGTAGATATGTATTTAACTAAGTAGCTCAATTTCCTATCATTAATATTCATTTAGCTCTTTACAAATACCCTGTATCCGTTAGAGATTTGCATGTAGCTGGCAGCAGCATGAGGTCTTTGTTTCCTTGTACAGGTAATTGTAGAATCATAGAATCATAGAATGGTTAGGGTAGGAAAGGACCTTAAGATCATCTAGTTCCAATCCCCTGCCATGAGCAGGGACACCTCCCACTAGAGCAGGTTGCTCAAGACTCTGTCCACCCTGGCCTTGAAGTTCAGTGAGTAAATAGTACAGATTGTAGGTTTTTTCTCTGTATAAAAATGCTAGCTAATCTTAGTGACCAAAGCTTTGAAAACATGACCATCCTTTTGCTGATTTATACAAGGAAACATAAAACTAGTGAAGGTAGCAGACTATTTTAATAGTACCTTAATACTAACAGCTCATGTAGAAATTATATAGAAAAAAGTAATATGATAAAACATAAAAAACCAAGTTGCTTAATACTCTCACGTTATGCTAATCAATGAGGAGTGCTCAGTTGAAATTTCATACTAGCTCTAGTGAACGTATGTAATATAAGGCAATTGCATATTGCCTGGATCCTTGATCTAATCCCACTGTCTTTAAGTCCATGGTGTTGACTTCACCCAGCCTCTTTATTTGTTTAGCTGCTACAGAATGTTCTGGGTTAGTCTTTGAATTTTTAATTTTAATAAAGATTTTTAGTCCAAATTTATCTGAATAGACAGCCATCATGAAAATTATGGAAAGACTCTGGTTTTCACTTATCAGAGGATAAAATATCCAAAGAAACCTGAACTTGTTATTCTTTTACTAGGTTGCAAAAATGGATGGTGTCAAGATTCTGGTTTATAGATCAAATTACTTTGCTCCTTCATCCACTGTAGGCTTTCCTAGTGGTCTTGGGAACTCAACCTCTGTGTGTATCTATGTATTTTCATATATGAAACATAAGCAATGCTTCTCTATCTCAAAAATTATCTTTGTGAGACATTTGTGAAAGCAGTGTCCAGATTCCGCAATAATGAGAGACATAGTTAACAAGTAAGATAAAGGATAAAATATTTTTAAAGCAGGTTTAGGTTCTCTAAGATCTACTCTGAGTTGGGTTAAGTTGGATGCTTCCTTTACTCAGTGAAGAAACAAAAGGATCTCAAAGGGGTGATTCATCTTATTTTAGAATAAATCTCTAAACTAAGACAGAGAAAGTACGCTTGGAAATGTCTGGGGGAAGCAATGGGTTGGCGAGTATAATGAGAACCTAGGGAACCAGTTGAGACTTAGGTTTCTGATTTTTAAATGTCTAAAGGTGAGATATTCAGATGTATAATTGACTGTTTATTAAAACTGCTCTTTCAGAGTTCAAATTTGCTGATATTGCAGTACTCACAACCCTTATTCTGGTCTGTGGTTGCTTACTTCCTAAAAGATAGCATGCAGGGAATGAATATTAGAGAATGGTTCATTTTCATTTTTCTTGTTACTTTTACTTGTGTGTCGAAGTGTGAAGTATGTAAAAGACCACTGGAAGATCTGAAGGCAGGAGACAGCATTTGGATTTACAGACAAACTGTGCATTGTGAGCCTTGCTATTCCAAAGTTAAAGGTAAGATGCAAGATGTATTATACTGAACATAGAACAACGGTGCAGAGAACTTCATTCAAATAACTTCAATATATTGAAGCTATTTAATAAAGCAGACGGGTGTTGCTTTTGCTCATTTGTTTACTTAAACCCTTTCAGAGTATTTCATTCAGTGAGACTGAGTTAGTTATGATGATATCCAACACCAGGTTCTAGGCATAATAATTAGTCAGTACTTGTGAGGAAGATCTCTTAAGGTCTCATTGAAATCTGTAGAGTCCTGCCACTGCAGTCAATGGAGACACCTACAGTAAGTCAATGGCATCTTGCCCAGGAAGTGACAAGAATAAATTGCAAGGCCCTCTGAGAACCAGACTGTTCTACTGAAACAAATAAACCAGGGTTCAGAGGTATTTTCACCTAATGTAGTCATTGTAACTACAAAGAGAAAATACAAAATCTATTCAATCATACTGAAAATATACTGTGAGTACCATTCTTACTTTTGTGAGGAGCACAGTGAGTAAACAAATGGACAAGGCACTGAAGAATGAAGCTTCTGTTTTATGAATTATTCTAGAAAATGCTAGATTTTAAGTCTTCTGTGTTCACAGCATTTATTAATTCGTAACACTATATATCAGTACCTCTGTACCAAACAAAGACAAATGGAAATGTAGATGAAATGTTCTGATAAGGTGGTGTTCACCAATATCCTTCTGAGATGTGTCATCCTAGCTAAAATTATATTAATCAATTTGTTTTGTTAAAATACTTTGTTTTATTATGCCGTTGCAAAATTTGATGGAAAGTGTGAATTTTGTAATTAATCCAACTATGAAATTAGTAAGGCATGTTGACAGTTACTAAACTGTAGACAGACAGACCAAGGGTCTGTATGTTAAGCACTATAAAGTGACATATCCTATTTCAGCAAATGACAAGATGGGACTTCAGTAGATTTTCTAAAAATAAATAAAATAAATAAATTGATCTAAAGTTTCCTTGTGTGACATTTAGGGAATACTGAATTTTTGGCATTTCTGATCAATCTTTTCTCTTTTGCAGAAAAGTGGATCTACTAATTTTGACATACAGCATGATAAAGAAGTTCCACTAGTGTTTAGTTAAGTGTATTGCCCTGTTAATTCAAACCACTATGGAAAATGATTATTTTTTATTACTAGGAGCAAATACTCTAAATGCAGTCCGACTGCATGGTTCCCAAAGGAATTAAGCACTTGAGAACTCAGGTGCCTTTTAATACACACATTCCAGGAAGCAAAACAAGATATTGTTCAGTATATTTATCAGATTTGTGAAAGTTCATGTAAAACTAATGATAATTTATTGAAATTTTCTTAACAGCAGGACATACCTACACATATGTTTTGAAGGGGCTGTATTCTTTTTACTGAAAACACATCTCCTCAAAGACCTGTTATCTTTATATAGCATGAATAGATTAATCTCATCAACGATTAATCATTTAAAAGTCAGCTACTCAGTTAAAACTACTGTTTTAATACAGAGTGAGGTGGGTTCACTCTGTACCTTTGCGGAGAGACATCAGTCTGCAGAGGAAGATTATTCCCACATAACTTAAATGATAACTTTAAGATGGAACAAATCATCTTTGGAAAATGCATCTCTCTTACCGCAGAGGAATTTTAGACAAAAAATGTTAGAGGGTTTCAATTAGAAGTATCCCACTCCATGTTTGTAATTCTGGTAACTATTGTATTCCCTTTTTTGTTTTTTGTTTTTTTTTTTTTTTAAGACGTGCACACTTAATAGTTGCCATGAAATCATGAAATACATACTTTGCATGCCATTATGTTGTTGTATTTATCTTTCCTACTTTATTAAGCAGAATATCTAAACACCTTGGATGGATTCATCTCGCTTAAATTTAAACATCTACAGTGCAGACATTGAAGATACTTGATATATTCTGTCTTTATAGAGAAGTGGACATTTTTAGGAAGTGATTCAATTGGTCAGATTGCAAACATCTACTTTACCGTGATGTTAACCATGCTCTGAATGTATGTCTTACTTTCCATGGTTTGCAAAGGAACCTGGAATGAATAGCTCAAATTTCTACACACCTACATTAGGCCAGATAAACTCCTTCCTTTGAGACTACAGTGAAAGCACTGTTTTGTTTTTTTTTTTTGCTTTTGAAGAGCATATGTTCATTAAGGTATAGAAACTGGAAGAAGAGCTCATCCTTTGTTATAGTGTTTCCACAACACTCAATAGTTACCTGCCTATTTGTTTAAAATAATAAATAATTCAGTAGTTTGCTAGACAAACTAGACAACTAGTCTCTGCCATGAGGTGTTTCAGATCATGGTTATTCAGAACTGATTTTCATCTCCCACATCTCAACTTAAAAGGTCTTATTGGATATGACCATGACAGAGCTAGAGTGCTTGGAGGCTGCTGGCCTTAGCAAAAGCTTAGAAAGGTGAAAAGTGCCAAAGCCATAGATTAATACTAGGCTGCTGAATGGCTGTCCCAGCCAAAATCTCTCTCCTCATCTGCACATTCAGTAGTGGAGACAGGAGGTATGGATGTCTGTGTAACTTAAACAGTTGGCTTTGCAGCTGAATAATGATGTAATCTGTCTTCCCTGGCTTGAAGGGTGTTCAGACTAATATGTAAAGGACCCATGAAACAGTAGATAGTTTGTTAATTTTATTAAAATTTCTTATTAACTAATGGCAGTAAATTTAATAAACCTGTTATTATAGACATTTTTTTCTGGTGTGTGTCTCTTGCTGATGACATATTCTAGTTAAACTACACTAGCAATTACCCTGTGCTTCACCAGCAAACAGTGAGACTTGCAAAACAGGTGGAGAAAAGTAGTGGTGAAATTTTAATGTTGGGGTCAGAAACTTGCTCCTGTTCAGAGGCCAACAGTTATTGCTAAGGCTGTTACAATGGAAGATGTTAGATGTTCATTTCAGCCAGCTCATTAGAATCCAGGACTTCATAGCATTTGAGGGGATTAGAGATTTCAGTTCATTCCACTAGAGACCAGGAGCAAAGTCTGTATCCAGAAATCTGCTACTTAAATGCTCACAGACAGAGAAGTAGCAATAAGAAACAATAAATAATAATTCCATGCTTGTTAATTCATACTTACTGAACAGCCCTGGTAATTTTGCCATGTGCTTTTTGTTATTTTTTATTATATGTTGTAAGTTTGCTGAAAAGGAGCACCGGGTTTGTGATGCTTCATATTTACCATATAAAAGCCAGCATGGCAGTTTTGATTAAAAAAAAAAAAAAAAAAAAAAAAAAAAAAAGATATCATATTAACATCTCAATACCAATGTATCAAAACTGAGTTGTTTTTTGTCCTTTTTGCATATCATTAGCATGTGGTGTTTTATTTCTCTTTGACTAGTGCTTCCATGAAACAATCCAAATGAACAGTTTGCTGGCAGCTGTTTTAATGAACGCGTTATCTTCAATAATGCATTAAATTTGACTGAAAAGCTCTATTGAGAGATGATGTACTAAATTATGTGGGGTTTTGTGATTCATCAGGCCTATTTTTTCAGTGTGTAATGGATACTTTATTTTACAAAGCTGGGGCATAGCTCTACAGGGGAGAGAATCAAGCAACAAGAGGAAAGGAGTGAAATAATGCATGTAATATATATTGAGGTATATAAATATGTAGATTACTTCAAAGCTACTGATACTTACATCCTTTTCCTCTTGAAATAAGCATCCCTCTGAGTTTGACAAGACATGCTCCCTGTTACTTCATAGAACCCCCTTAGCTAGGCTAGTAAAGAAGTGGTCAACATCAAAGAGGCCTTGCTTTTATTGAGAGGTTAGCTCTATTCCCTACTCCTTGATACGGAGATGTGTGTTGTGTTGGGATAGCTTCATGTGTTCAGTTTTTTTACTGAGAACTCTGCTACTCTGGTTGCCTTCCTTGATACATAATCCTGTTGTTTAGGATGAAAAGTATCCACTTTCCTGGTTGGTTTTGCTTTCTGATCATACTTGCATGTTGCTCATTGTAGCTACTCTGTTACACCAGGAGGTGTTTTTAGCTTCCAGTCACGTTGGTGTCAGACTGCAAGGGAGAAATGCAGCTTCTTTTTCTTCCACCTGCTGCACCAAAACACCTCGTTTTTCTTCAAGCAGCGTAACAGTAGAGACATCCTTCATTCTATAAAGACAAAGGATAAAGACACTTGATATTAGGTAGTTGTCAAGTGCCCAAGTCTGAAACTATTGACCAAAATAGCTGTTTAGCCACTTAACAGATGCAGCACCACTGAGGTCTTAAACCCATTTTTCCTTCTTTGACTTCACAGTCCTACTGTCCTGTTTTCTATTTTGCTTGATCTAAGCAATGCAGCTCTAATCTCCTGCATCAGTAAAACTGGGACTTAGAAACATTCCTTGCATTTCAGGGAGAATAATCTGCAGATATTCTCAAAACATGCTTGGCACACACTGCCAAGATCCTTCCTCCTCAAAAATCTCCTGATAATTACTGCTTTTTAAAATCTGGGAGATGCTGTTCTCCTCTTTGAACAGATCATTGGCCCAGAAAGTGGGATGGTCAAGTTCAATTTCTCCCCCATCTTACCAGCTAACCAAGCTGTGTAAGACAGAGGAACAGGCTGGTGTATGGAACAAACTAGATGTTGTTGCCATGTTCCCTGACATGGGTGGAGGGTGGATCCTTATGGTCCATGGCCCGCAGGATGGCTGCATTGCCAGCACAATCACTAGGTGCCTACTGACCCCTCAGTAATGACTGTGGAATAGAAAATGTAGAGAGACAGTCCTGTGAGCAGAGTCCAGATCCTGGAATTTCTCCATCTCATCTAAGTGGCTTAATTCATAATTAAAAGCAGTCTGAACGATCATCTATTTATCTGTTAATGTTGTGTTCCTTTCTAGCAACATTAGAGGAGTTGTCTGCACTCAGATTTGGATGATGTAGGATTCTGAGAGATTGGAAGTTTTGGAGGGTTTCA